CTTCCCTATTCAAATCTTGTCTTTTTATAACATAAGGGTATTTTCGTAATTTTACCTAATCGAAATATTCTCATAATTTCCCATCCAAGTACCTTTAACGTTTAACCTTTGATGATTTAAAATATAAGTTACAAATTCAAGGCTGATTTCTTTATCACTAATCACAAACTTGTAATTTAATTCTAACAATTCCTCAATCTCTTATATTAGTCATTCGATCCGTAATCAGTTACAACATTTCTACCATATTCATATCGAGTGTATAAATTATTCAACTCCACCAAAGTGACCAACATTATCTTGTTCATGCATTTATCAATATCAACATGTTCCATAAAGTATAAAGAGGTAGTAAAGTATTACCTCGATTTTTGTGCAATACTGATCGAACATAAAATTTCATTCGAACGCCCTTGATCTTGAAATCATCTTCCAATATTTCCTCAAATCCATATCAACAAAAAATTACATAAAAAACAGAGCTTAATTCAGATAAACGTATCGAATCGGATGATAAATCAGTTAAAACCAACTTACCGGTTTCGAATTTGACAAAACGGACTTCGGATTCGGATTCAGGACGTCGAAAGCATAAAATATGACTTTTCGAAAATTTGAAATTTTCGGTCAAAATCAAAGTCAACGGGTTTGACTGGCAATTTCTAGGCCCTCGGGTCTGAATTTCGAGAAACGGACTACGGAATCGGATTTGGAACGTCGAAAAATGTCAGGATAGGTATATTCGGTCGAAGTCAAAGGTCGTTTAATGCCCGATCAAAGCCGGTCAAAGTTTTGGTCAACAGTGGTCAAAGGTCAACGGTTAACGGGTCGGTTCAATGGGTCGGGTCAACGGGTAGGGTCGGGTGAACGGTCGGGTGAACGGGTCGGGTCGGGTGAACGGGTCAAAACATTTCCAAAACCAGTCAAACCAATAACTTTTGCCTTCCCTACGCGTGGGGGCGCTTGAATAGTACCCTGATGTCGGAAAATTCACGGAAAAATTCCTATAAATTATTTTAACTGATTTCGAGATACTTACAAAGCTCGGTTCAAATTTTTGAAAGGTGGAGAGCTCGATTTCAACGAATCGGAAACTTTGACTGCTTCACCTCCCCACGCGCCGCCGTCGACGGAGACCAAGGATGACATCGGCATACTCGGAATGATACAAGGAACACGATGGTGCGGGAGGTGTCGTAAACAGATGACCCGATCGCCGTGAATCGATAAAAAACTAACAAAAACTGAGTTATTTCCGAGGATATTTCCGACTGAAATTAACGACGAACGACGATGATTCATGACGAAAGGTTTGAAGGGTTTTGTTCCTCGGTTGACAACGAACACGATGGTGATTTCAGTTTGTCGATTGGAGGTCGGACGGTGAGTAGATCGGAGCTGAAAGAGGGGTTGATGGGAGAGAAAAACTGGAAAATTTCTCTGGAAAAACCAGTGCACAGGGGTTTTATAATTCAACCTATATAAAAAATGGGTAAATCAAGAGTTTAGTCACTGAACTTTATGTACTTCATAAAATGGTCTGCCAACTTTAAAATCTTACAATTTAATCCACAATTTCTTTCAAAATATCAATTAAATCCACCACTTTATAATTTCTTAATTTTAGCCTCTATAAATTGGGGTGTTACAGGCAAAGGTGGAAATTGATAAATGAGATTTTATATTTATTTAATGTTACGAAAATGGAGACAAAAGGATGGAATGGTGGTAATTATTAAGATTCATTAAGGGTAACTACAACTTTTGGATTAAAATGAATTTTAAATTCACTTTTAATAGAATTTTACAAGTGTACATAGATATTTTGGGAGATTTTTCCAGAAATTTGGCTTCTCCTTCCTATATATGCCGTGAACCATGAATGAAAAAGAACACAAGGTATGTTTTCTTTCTTTTTCTTCATTTTAGTCCAATTTCCTTTGATTTTTGGATTAAGTTATGAAATAGAAAAATGATCCATATCAAAATCTTTATCATTTGGTGATAATATTTCATTGTTTCCATGCTTGGATCATTGGATTGTTGTTGATGTGGAAATGATTGAGAATGGATGAAAATGATGTGTTGATGATAAAATTATGCTTGAATAAAGTTGAAAATCAAGCTTGAAATATTTTTATTCAATTCTACCTAAAAAGGAAGAAATTATGGAAAATTGTGGAAAGATTTTATAAGGAATAGAAATTATGTATGAAGGATTCTGTATGCTTAGATTATGATTTGAACCCATTTGGAAAATTGTGAAAGTATAGGGATTTAATTGTATAATTTGAGAAATATGGAGATTAGTGCTCAAATGTCTAATAACTGGTGTATTAGGTTGAAATTGAATGTTGTAGTGCAAAAATTGATATTTGGATGATGATTTGGATCAAATTGAAAATATGTGAAATTATAAGGACTTATTTGAAATTTATGAAAAATTTAGGGACTGAAGTGAAACTATTTAATAGATGATGCACTATTCTGGAACTAAAAACTAAGAATTTTGAATTTGATGTAAGAATGTGAAATTTGACTAATTTGGAAATTTGGTAAAATTTAGGAACCAAATCATAAATTACGAAAAAGTTCGGCATTTTAGTGAAAAATTTTCAGTTATGAGTAATCAATGTTGAAATTAAATATTTGGGTACTGAATCTTAAGTTGGAATGTTGATATAAGATCAAATTGCAAATTTGGTTAAGTGTGATGGTTAAATTCGAATGGATTGAGAAATAAGGGATTGGATTGTAATTATGAAAATGTGAAGGTACTGAATTGGATTTAATTTTACAATGCTGGAGTGTTTGGGATTGATTTTAATAAAGTAAAAATGATGAAGGATTAAGATGCAAGTTGTAAGAATTGATGAAGAAATTAAGGATGCAAAATAATGAAAACATTTTAGATTTTTGAATCTAGCCGTAAGTTTGAAAAATCACCAGAAATTCTATACAAATGATTAGCAGGTAATTTTTATACTGTTGTGTTTGTATGTCAATCTAGTTTTTTTTAAACAAACGGGGATTGATTTCGAATTATATAATGAAAGATACGAATTTTCGATCGATAATAGGTAAAAAAACAGGGCAACAGATTCTGGAAATTGGATTAGAAAATTCATTATAAATTGTACAAGTTGAATTAGAAAAATTTATTTATATGATTAGATTTGTATTCAAGTATAGTTTCAAACGGAAGAAATGGAATTAAAATCCAGTGAGTAGATTAATACAAAATAATGATTCTTTAAAGGTAGTGCAACTTGTCAAGAATATGGAAATTTATAGTTAAATGATGAAATATTGAAATTGGATTAATATAAGAAGTATAAGTTAGAAGTTCAATTTGTAAGTTTTGGAAAAGTTGGTGGTAAAATGGTAATTATTTAAAGTTAATGTATTGTATTGGAGTTAATGTGAAAGTGATTAAATATGACAAATGAGATGGATTTAATTTGAATATTAAAGAATTATTTTAGACATTTTCGAAATGCTATATTATATTTTAAAGAAAAATTTATTCATAGCTAAATGCGAAATGTTGAAAAAGTTAAGTAAATTGTTGTGAGAACTAATTATTTAAAGGACTTGGATGGTTAATTTAGTAAAGCTAAAATTTGTTATCAATTTGGTGAAAGAAATCAATATTGAATATACATCAATGATATTGTTAATATATTTATATGAATATTAATTTTTATTATGTTGGTTAGATATGCTAATATATGAATGAAACAATATATGAATGTGATAATTTTCTATTTGTATATATATATATGTGTGAAAAATATATAAGATTTAAATAAAGCACAATGTATAAGACTTAGAGAGTCATGGGTACATGAGGTGGAGTGATTCTGTATCTGTTTTTGTACATTCGTGTACATCTGTCATTCACTTTATGTGCATTATTATTCACTGAATCCTAATACTGACACTTTATGTGCATTAATGTTCATTGATTATTGATGCTGACACTTTATGTGCATTATTATTCACTGATTATTGATACTGGGAGTTATACTGCATACCCTGCAGAACACTCATATTCTAACTCATGTACCATATATTCCCATGATTATACAATGGGTTATAAAATGAAACCAAAAGATACAATATTGTAAAAGATATAATACAATAAATGATATAGTACAATGAAAGGAACAGTGCAGGAAAAGAGACAGTATTGAGAAAGGGAACAATAGAAGAAAAAAGACAGTACAAGTTTAATTATTGTATCACAATGAAGTTTTATATGTAAAAGAAAAATTGATTTAAAAATTAATTGGTTTATAGATGAAAAGATAAAGTATAAGTTACTCATATATGAAATGATATGGTTAATTCTTATTTAATTGATTAAATGGTTTTATACTATGTTTTTATAAGATATTTTGTACCAAATATATATGTGTTACACAATATTGTTATGCGATATGATAAGCATAAATTAAATGGATTGAATTTGAATATGTATATGTGTGTGTGAATAATATTATACATGAGAAAGAAAAAGACTATTATAAGCTTACTTTACGTGCTTATTACATAAAATACTCGATGTTAATGTTTTTATATTTTTAGGAGATGTTTTAATAAATTTAACTATAAATATTACAAATGTTATATATACATGGTGATATAAAAATGTATGATAAAAGTTGAGCTAAAATATTAGAATAATATAATATGAGAAATCGTAATAAAGAAAGAAGAAAATATGGTAATTGGTTAAGTGGATATATATACGAGTGGTATTAAATTATAAGGATTGATTGGATTATTTTTAGGTAGTGTTAATAGTGATATGAAGTAGACAAGTAGTATAGACATACCTAATTGTCACATCAAACTAAATATGAATTGAAAATTAAATATTTCATTATTATTTTATGTGTTTAAATAATTTAAAAATAATTGTTAAATTTGGAAGTTTTGAAGAAGAAAAAAACAAAATTTTAAAGTAGGAAAAATAGTACAAAACTTATTGGTCCATCAACAGTGGAGTCTTCATTCAATTTGTGGCCTACTTTGATTCATGTGTTGCTCTGTTGTAAGTTGGACATCTTCCAAATCTTTCTCATAGACTATCCCAACCCCACATTTCTTCACCCCAACACCTTTGCCACGAGCATCATATTTGAATGACAATTCAAGTGACAATTCAAGTTCATCGCATTCCTGATTTGAGCAATCCGGTGTTGAAGTATTCTTGGTTTCCCTTTCACCACATTCATTCTCCAACAAATATGGATATAACGCGTCACGATACCAGTAACCAAGAAAAAGGTGGTCATTTTTTATGGGCTGATTAAATCCTTTCCCCTAAATGAATGCCAACGCCATCAAGATCTCGAGGTTCTCCACAATGGATAACAGCATTACACCTGATTCGCTCAATCCGCGAAGAATCACCACCGGCAAAAATGCAGCAGAAAGCAACTCCCGTCCATTGACTATCATTCCGAATATTGAGAGGCAGTGGCATCTTTATTGAAGAGTCGACTCTTTGATGGCTGAACCATTCCGGGATTTCACTTCCAGGCATAATAACAACGAACCTTTCTCTTGAATTTGCAAATACCTGCAAAATAAAACACCTTTTCGCTGGTAACTAAAAACACAAATTCTTAAGTACGAGATTTTGTTAAGCAAAAAAGAGAGATTGAACAACCTTCATATGTTTTTTCAGCAATGTTAATGCATTGATGTTCTCAGCCAATCTGTAGCAGTTGATACCTTTAAACATGAAAGCCATTCGATTGTATACTTCCGATGGATTAGCAATTAGTTCCAGAGAAGAACAATCATCTATGCTCACAAATACTGTACTTGTTGGAAGCTCAGGCAATGATTTCAGCCCCCGACAATTCATCAAGTCAAGATATTTAAGCTTGGAAAGTCGAATAAGAGAATCAGGTAGGCTGATGAAATTGTTACTGCTGAGATTGAGTTTCTTCAATGAGGATAGACAAGAAATATCAATAGGAATATCTCCTTCACAAAGATTGCAGTCCCTTAGATTTAGCTCTATCAATGAACTCAAAACAGACAACGAAGGCAACATCAGAGCCATTGAATTTGTCTTTCCTCTTTGGAATTTTTTGAAGACAGAAGGCAAATTTTGTTGAAACTTAGATGAAGATCCCTTGCGGCCGTTGAAAGACAAAACTTCAAGATTTTTAAGTCGAAAAAGGCAGGACGGTGGTTTTGTTATGGCCGTTTCACTCAAGTCGAGCTCTTCCAAAAACTCTGCTAGCTGCAAACTCTCTGGCAAAAATCCAACTCTATAACTCCGGAAGATCAAGAATTTTAGACAATCCATTTTGCAATCAATCTCTGGAAACCATAGAAGATTTGAGCAACCCGAAAGAATGAATGTTTGAAGAGATTCCATTCCAATTTTGGTTGGAAGATTCCTAAGACTTTTGCAGCCTCTCAAATTCAAATTTTGAAGCCTCTTAAGCTCTGCTATGGATGGATGACATCAACTATTTTGTACAACCTTCCAGGATCAGAACTTCAAGATCTGGGGCCATTGTGAAGTCCGGAGTCTTGATCAGGTTCGGGAGCCTCTGAGGTTTAACACTTTCAGCTTGTACAAGGGACAGGTTGTCCGGTTGAAAGCCTGAGGGCAGAGATCTTAAAGGAAATTTCCCTAAAAGCCGCTCATTAGAAAGATTTTAGACCATCACAATTTGAGAGGCAAGAACTTTGAGCAATCTCAATCTTCTCATCTTCGAGAAGGCATCGACACTCAAATTGAGTGTCTTGTTCGATTCCCTGATAACCATGAGAAAAACAAAAAATGAGCTTCAAACTATGCAAAAACAAATCCAATACCTAAAAGCTATGTTGCTCCATCACTGTGTTTTCAATCATCCGTGTTTGATACATGTATCTGACGCATATTCGAATAATAGTATTGGAAAACTTAAAATCATGCACATGTAAAACACATCTATATCTAACCCTTAAGTCTGAACTCAAATTACCTAAGCTAACAAACTGGAATTATTTTGCGCCCTAACACACATTGCTACTAGACCAAATGATGACAGATTAGTAAAACTCAAATCAGTTGGATTTATTTTTAAAAGCTTTTGACGATATGTTATAGACTATGCTGAAACATACATTGATAAACGCGTACAAATGTTTTGCTACCTTTGATTGTCGATGATCATGGCTTCAATCACTTCCGTGGCCTACAAGTAATCAAGAACAGAGTATAAGAAGACAGAATGAATGGTTTAAACTCCATGATAAAAACTTTTGACAATACACTATGTTAACATTACGATAATCTTTTGATCGGAATATGGTAAATAAATAACTTTAAACAAATTATAACATTTTCCGATGAGAGTGATTTACTGAAATTATATGCTCATTATTAACATTTATAATCAACTAAGAATATTTTAAATGAAATAGTTTTGCAATATAATGAATAAATATATTCATCCTCTCGATCAACTATTCAAAATATTAAGTATATTTTTGTGCATAGGAAGACTTAGTTTTATTGAATGACTTACAGTTTTTTTTGTTAGAACATGTTGGATGTCCCTTTCATCCCACAATCTGCAACGCTTTCCAGGTTCATCAATAGATTTTCGCAAACATATTTCTTCCCATTCTTGTAGCAAGTCATGCATCCAATCTGTGTCTCCCACAACTGCCACTAGATTTCTTAACGAGAACACGATTCCAATATCTGGGAAAAACTCACAACCATCCAACACTTTGGTTACAAAATCTTTCTCCTCCCCATTGAAAACATGCGATATCAAGAAATATATCTTTTTTCCCTTTCTTCTAATCCATCAAAACTGATTTGAAATCTAGAATTTCTTTGTTTTCGTTTAAATGCACTTCTCCATGAGTTGCATCTCTACCACACAAAAAAGAACCCAACACTTCAAGAGCTAAGGGAAGACCACCTGCATAGCGTACAACATGTTTAGAAAGCTCAATGAAAACACCTTCTAATACTGTCCCACTATCGAAAGCTTTCAAATTAAAAAGCTTAAGTGCATCATTGGGACACAATGTCGTATACTTATACACATAATCGGCTTGATAGGATCGGAGCAGATGTTCATCTCTTGTTTTTACAATGATTCTACTCCCTAAACCGAACCAATCACGCCTTCCAACCAAGTGTTCCAAGTGTTTTCTGTTATCAACATCATCGATAACAACAAGAACCTTTTGTGAGACAACCTATGACTGATGATTGCATTTCCTTCATCAACATCGAATATATTGAATCCTCCTTCGGACAAGGTTTGAGTAAGAAGTTGTTTCTGTAAAGAAACAAGTCCCAATTTGTTTGAAACTTCTCGAACATCAGCAAGAAAGCTTTTGCCTTCAAAATGAGATGACATTTGGTTGTAAACAACTCTTGCAAGAGTCGTTTTACCGATGCCACCCATTCCACATATTCCTATAATACGGACATCATCTTCTCCAACATCGATTTTTGAATACAACTCCTCCAAACGAGAACTAATTCCAACCAACTTATCATGAACAACAGGATACGTTTGACATAATTTTGCTGATACCTTTTTAACAATATCTCCAATGAATTCAGATTCGTGCCTACAATAGAAATTAAATTTAGTTTTTTTATTCATTTAAGAAATGAACAGATAAGACCATGAATAAATGATCAAGAGAGAAAAGAATGAATTACTTGTTATTCAAATGCCATCCTTTGATGTTAGAAACCTCAGTCAAAGCATTTCGCCATCTTTGGATCTTGTATATATCTTCCTTGTATGTCTCTTCGTGTTTGCCAAATGCTTCTCCAACTTTATCCTTTTGTCTTCTCAAATCAGACGGATCCACATCATAGAAAATTGGAAATACTTTATGACCTTTTTCCAATTTTTGTTTAACAATCTCTGCAAGCTCCTCCAAACACCAACTTGAAAAGGCGTAGGTTTTGGAGAAAACGATTACCGAGCACCAAGATTGTTGAATGGCTTTAAAGAGTTCTGGGGCAATCTCTTCGCCGGTCTCCAGCTTCGGGTCATCCCTGAAAGTGACGATTCCACTGCGTTGAAGAGCATCATAGAGATGATCTGTAAAACTTATGCGGGTATCTTCACCTCTAAAACTCAAGAAAACATCATATTTGTGTCTGGAAATAGACGAGGAAGACGAAGGCAACGACAACATGACGAATTGTAGGAGGAAGAAAAGGATGTCTCAATCCGATGTTCAAAATCAATATATATATATATATATATATATATATATATATATGGCCTCAAACGCAGGAAGAAACTAGGAAAAGTCCAAGTAAAAGAGCAAGAATGAAGAGAAAAGGAGATCAAGTTTCCAAAAACAAAGGTTTCTGAGCAAATTCTGTATAATTATTAAATACCAAAGGAAGAAAGCGTGTAGTGGTGGAAATGAAGGTGTTTTCCCGGAAGAATCCAAGAAGCTGAGACTACAACTGCTTCCTTTGCTTTATTCTGTTCACTGTTGACTAGGCCTCGAATCGAGCGTAAAGTCTACAAGGTGGACTACTTTGAGAGTAAACTACACCATTCATCACAGAATTTTTCTCTTTCCTATTTTATTCACTGTAATTTCAATTTTTTCAATTTACTCACTGAATTTTATAGATTGAAATTTTTTGGTCACTCAACGATGACATGAATTATTTTATTATTTTTTCATATGAAATATAATATTTTTATTAATATTTTAATATTATATAGTATTATAATAAAAATAAAAATAAAATTTAAAAATAATAAATTATACACAAAACCTTAAATCAACAAATTATACCACAAATCATAAACCCTAAGTTAAAATTATCACCTCACCCCCACCCTCGATGACAACACTCACCTTAGATGATGAGAACCCTTGATTGGTTTATGGTAATATTGCTGGAACCCTTAATTGCACTTCCCTTTCAAAGACAATGGAGGTTTACCATATGAAGGGAAAACAATCTAGGAACTAGTTGTGTTGTAGATTAAAGACGGACATTTTACATTTTTGTCTCTGTAGTATATCCAATTTATCATTTTCACCATTATCATATTTTCGCATCAATTTAGTCATCGAAATTGCTTAATTGTATCATTCTATATCCCACCTCTCACTTAAAACCCTAAATTCAATTCCTCGAATATTTGCATTTCTTGAAGTTCTTTTCAGTCTGCAAAATATATAACAATACAAGGAAAAAAATAAGCAGATCTTAATATAAGTTTTCAAGTGGCATCTTTAGCAACTTATACAAAAATTTATCTGAACCTACAGTGTTGATTCTTCAGAGCTTGACTTCCACATCAACCCCAGCAGGAAGGTCGAGTTGCATCAACGAATCGATCGTTTGTGCTGTTGGGTATAGAATATCGATAAGGCGCTGGTGTGTCCGAATCTCAAAGTGGAACCTTGCATCTTTGTGTACATGTGGGGATTTAAGGACACAATAGATCCTCTTCTTGGTCGGTGACGGCACAGGTCCCATCGTCTTGGCATTGGTAGTTCGAGCGGCATCCAAAATCTGCTTGCAAGAGTCCTCGATCAAGGGTACCCAGTATGACCTAAGTTTAATTCGAATCTTCTGCTTAGGTGCTGCCTGTGAAAGGAATTGCGAATAAGAATTTACTGAATAATCACCAGAAATCAAGATCAAAATATAATGTATTTAGAGACAAGTTTCCGATCACGTCAGTCGAATCCAGCATGGGACTAAGGCAATAGAAGACACCTAGAAAGATAATAACGATTCGGAGCGGAACATTCTAGGCCAACCAGACCCAACTAACAGGGGTAGTAAGTCTTCTTTACCAATGATTGGTAAAGGCCGGGTATTGTCGACTAGTTGTAGATGGTGGTCATTCGGTCTCAAATTTCATGGGTCTTGTTCATTTTAATCCCATGAATTCGAATTTAGTTGTTGTTTCACCAGAAAATGTCTCAAAACTCATGAATCCCGTCTAAAACATTTCGGCTTCCTTACTTTCGATCTCTAATTGGTGGACTTCAGAGCAAGTTCCGACAAAATGGAGGGCGGATTTGGAATCAAGGTGTCAAGACGACAATACCCATGAAATTTGAGACTGAACGACCATAATCTATGACGATCGACAGTGGTATCCGACCACCTTATGTTTTTATTTTATATTTTTAATTATTTTAAATTAAACAATAATAAAAAATGTCACATCATATATAAATAATAATAAAATAATTTAGAGTGATCAAAACTGGAGTAATTTGAAAGTTCAGTGGGTAAATTAAAAAATTAAAAGTACAGTGAGTATAATATGAGAGAAAATATAGTTCAGTCTGGAATGGTGTATTTTACCCTTTTTATATTAATATCTAAAAAAATTATTTTATGTGTTAAATTAGAGGTATATTGTATTTAGAAAAAAATAGAGCCAAAATACATGTAATATTATTTAGTGATTTTATATAATTTTTTTATAATATATCACAGAGTTGTCATGTAGGTAAGACGAATTGAAAAAAATATTATATAAAAGTTTATATAAGTTTAAAAGCAAAATTTAGTTTACTATTTTATATTTTTAAATTAAATATAATATTTTTTATTATTATAAAGTATAGAAAATATTAAATATATTTTAAAAATATAAAAATTTTAAATTCATTTTCACTTTAAATCCTATATTAACTATATATATAAATATATAATATATTCAACTATAAATTAACTATTATATTTACCGTCAACAATTTCTAGATTAAGTTGTTAAAAGTTATTAATTAGTATTTACGGTCAATATTTAAGTTATCAATAATTTATCTTCTCCTTCTCTCTAATTAGATTTTTTTAAAAATATTACATTTTCCAAAATAGTTTAGGTATTCTAAAATCTCTAATTTTTTTTTTTGTTATCCTCTTGATTTCAAGATTCCGCCTTGATTAATCCGGACTGACTCACATTGTACACTTAGCTTTGGTGAATGATGGGCTAAAGAAGTTTTTTTTTTCCTTTCTTTTTCCTTTCTTTTTCCTCTTCTTTATTGAGGTATTATGTTTATATGTTGAATGATGATTTAAATAGTATGTTTATTTCAAATTAGGTTTAGTTTAATAGAATATGCAAGTGTTAAAGACTAAAATTGTTATTACATTATGTCATATTACTATTTTTACCAAGTCAACAACCAAGTTTTATAAAAAAAATATATCAAAATCCAGTAGTTGGACGATCAAAACAAAAAGTAGAAAAATAGATGAGGTACCAAATAGACAACTTACGCAAAGAATTAGTAAGACGAGAGTGGTGATTATGTACGTAATGGTTCTCAACATGTCTCTCTCTCTGTGTCCATCAACAGTGGAGTCTTCATTCAATTTGTGCCCTACTTTGATTGATGTGTTGCTCTGATGTAAGTTGGACATCTTCCAAATCTTTCTCATACACTATCCCAACCCCACATTTCTTCACCCCAACACCTTTGCCACGAGCCTTATACTTGAATGACAATTCAAGTTCATCGCATTCCTGATTTGAGCAATCCGGTGTTGATGTATTCTCGGTTTCACTTTCACCACATTCATTCTCCAAGAAATATGGATATAACACGTCACGCCCCCAGTAACGAAGAAAAAGGTGGTCATTTTTTATGGGCTGATTAAATCTTTTCCCTAAAGGAATGTATAACATACCAAGATTTCGAGCTCCTCTACAACTGACATCACACCAGATTTGCTCATCCCCCGAAGAATCACCACCGGCAAAAATGCAGCAGAAAGCAACTCCCATCCATTGACTATCATTCCGAATATTGAGAGGCAGTGGCATCTTTATTGAAGAGTCGACTCTTTGATGGCTGAACCATTCTGGGATTTCACTTCCAGGCATAATAACAGCAAACCTTTCTCTTGAATTTGCAAATACCTGCAAAATAAAACACCTTTTCGCTGGTAACTAAAAACACAAATTCTTAAGTACGAGATTTTGTTAAGCAAAAAAGAGAGATCGAACAACCTTGAGATGTTTTTTCAGCAATGTTAATGCATTGATGTTCTCAGCCAATCTGCAGCAGTTGATACCTTTAAACATGAAAACCATTCGATTGTATACTTTTGATGGATTAGCAATTAGTTCCAGAGAAGCACAATCATCTATGCTCACATATTCTACACTTGTTGGAAGCTCAGGCAACGATTTCAGCCCTCGGCAATTCATCAATGCAAGACCTTTAAGCTTGGAAAGTCGAGTAAGAGAATCAGGTAGGCTGATGAAATTGTTACCACTGAGATCGAGCATTACCAAAGAGGATAGACAAGAAATATCATTAGGTATATCTCCTTCACAAAGATTGCAGTCCCTTAGTTTCAGCTGTGTCAATGAACTCAAACCCGACTGTTGAAACATTTTAATATTTCGATATAACAAATTAAGTTAAATGGATTTTAAGATTTTCCAAATGATTTTCTAAGTATATTCGATATAACTATTTCGAATATCAAAACATTACTCCAAATATTTCAAAAATCATTTTTTGATCCTTACTTAAGTGTAAAATTAAGTTTTAATCATAAAACAATTTCAAAATATTTTACAAAGTATTTCGAACCAATTCAAAGCCAAAAAATTCCAGAATACTCAGAGGGAACCGATTCCCCCCCATAGGAGGAACCGATTCCCCCCTGAATGGTTTGGCTCCGAGATTTCCAGAATGCTCGGAGGGAACCGATTCCCCCCAAGGGGGTACCGATTCCCCCCTGTTCAACGGTCGAAATATTTGAATTTTACACTTAGGGAACCGATTCCCCATGATAGGGAACCGATTCCCCCCACTGTCCAAGCTGTTTTATTAAATGTTTTCACACTAAAACGGCTATAATATCTTCTCTAATTATCCCCAACGTTCAGAAGTGATTCAAGGTGTATTTAAGCAAGCTTAGAAGCCATTGATCAACAACAAGAAACATCAAGCAACTAGAATCAAGAGAGAATCAAAGAGAAAGCATCAAACCTCAAGTTTGAGCATTTCCTCTTTGGAAGATCCCTTGCGGCCGTTGAAAGACAAAACTTTAAGATTTTTAAGTTGAAAAATGAAGGACGGTGGTTTTGTTATGGCCGTTTCCCTCAAGTCAAGCTCTTCCAAAAACTCTGCTAGCTGCAAACTCTCTGGCAAAAATCCCAACACTATAACATCCGGAAAGATCAAGAGTTTTTAGACAATCCATTTTGCAATCAATCTCTGGAAACCAAAGAAGGTTTGAGCAACCCGAAAGAATGAATGCTTGAAGAGATTCCATTCCAATTTTGGTTGGAAGATTCCTAAGACTTTTGCAGCCTCTCAAATTCAAATTTTGAAGCCTTTTAAGATCTCCTATGGATGGATGAACATCAACTATTTTCTTACAGCCTTCCAGGATCAGAACTTCAAGATCTGGGGCCATTGTGAAGTCCGGAGTCTTGATCAGGTTCGGGGACCCTTTGAGGTTTAACACTTTCAGCTTGTACAAGGGCTGTTGAAAACAATAATAAATTAGAGAGAAAAGAGAGAAAAAATAAGAAAGCTCATTCTTTTTATTTTGGTCTCTATCATAATCAAATTTTATTCATTCATCTTAAAAATAGAATTAATTCTTACTCTGGTTCCCTTCCATAGTTGTTCAATGCGACTGTATTGTAAGAGAAGTGCAACAAGGTTGTCCGGTTGAAAGCCTGAGGGCAGAGATCTTAAAGGACATCCTTCCCAATCTAAAAGCCGTAGCTCATTAGAAAGATATTTAAGACCATCACAATTTGAGAGGCAAAGAACTTTGAGCAATCTCAATCTTTTCATCTTTGAGAAGGCAGCGACACTCAAATTGAGTGTCTTGTTCGGTTCCCTGATAACCATGAGAAAAACAAAAAATGAGCTTCAAACTATGCAAAAACAAATCCAATACCTAAAAGCTACGTTACTCCATTACTGTGATTCCAATACCCTAAGCTAACAAACTGGAATTATTTTGCTTCTAACACACATTGTTACTAGACCAAATGATGGCAGATTAGTAAAACTCAAATCAGTTGGATTTATTTTTAAAAAATTTTGACGATATGTTATAGACTACACTGAAACATACATTGATAAACGCGTACAAATGTTTTGCTACCTTTGATTGTCGATGATCATGGCTTCAATCACTTCAGTGGCCTACAAGCAATCAAGAACAGAGTATAAGAAGACAGAATGAATGGTTTAAACTCCATGATAAAACTTTTGACAATTTACACCTATGTTCAACATTACGAAAATCTTTTTATCGGAATATAGTAAATAAATCACTTTAAACAAATTATAACATAGTAAAAATATTTTAAATGACATAGTTTTGCAATATAATAAATAAATATATTCCTCCTACTTGATCAAATATTCAAAATATTTTTGTATATTTTTGTACATATGAAGACTTAGTTTTATTGAATGACTTACAGATTTTTTTGTTAGAACATGTTGGATGTCCCTTTCATCCCACAATCTGCAACGCTTTCCAGGTTCATCAATAGATTTTTCCCAAACAAATTTTCTTCCCATTTCTTGTAGCAAGTCATGCATCCACAATCTGTTGTCTTCATCAACTGCCACTAGGGATTTCTTAACGAGAACATCGATTCCAATATCTGGGAAAAACTCACAACCATCCAACACTTTGGTTACAAAATCTTTCTCCTCCCCCTTGAAGAAGCATGCGATATCAAGAAATATATTCTTTTCGCTTTCTTCCAATCCATCAAAACTGATTCGAAGTCTATCAAGAATTTCTTTGTTGGAGTCTCGTTCAAGTCTTTCAATCGCACTTCTCCATTGAGTTGCATCTCTACCACGCAAAAAAGATCCCAACACTTCAAGAGCCAAGGGAAGACCACCAGCGTAATGTACAACACGTTTAGAAAGCTCAAAGAAAACACCTTCTAATTCTGTATCACTATCGAAAGCTTTCAAACTAAAAAGCCGAAGTGCATCATTGAGATTCAATGTCATAGGCTTATACACATAATCAGCTCGATAAAATCGGAGCAGATGTTCATCTCTTGTTGTTACAATGATCCTACTGCCTGAACCGAACCAATCACGCCTTCCAACCAAGTGTTCCAAATGTTTTCTGTTATCAACATCATCGATAACAACAAGAACCTTTTTGTGAGACAACCTACGACTGATGATTGCATTTCCTTTATCAACATTGAATATATTGAATCCTCCTTCGGACAAGGTTTCTTTAAGAAGTTGTTTCTGTAAAGAAACAAGTCCCTTTTTGTTTGATTGTTCTCGAACATCAGCAAGAAAGCTCTTACCTTCAAAATGAGATGACATTTGGTCGTAAACAACTCTTGCAAGAGTGGTTTTACCAATGCCACCCATTCCACATATTCCTATAATACGGACATCATCTTCTCCAATATCGATTTTAGAATACAACTCCTCCAAACGGGAACTAATTATCATGAACAACAGGATACGTTTGACGTAATTTTGCTGAGATTTTTTCAACAATATCTCCAATGATTTCAGATTCATGCCTACAACAGAAATTAAATTTAGTTTTTTTATTCAGTTTAAGAAATGAACAAATATGACCATGAAATAAATGATCAAAGAGAGAAAAGAATGAATTACTTGTTATTCAAATGCCATCCCTTGATGTTAGAAACCTCAGTCAAAGCATTTCGCCATCTTTGGATCTTGTGTTGATGTTCCTTGTATGTCTCTTCGTGTTTGGCAAATGCTTCTCCAACTTTATCCTTTTGTTTCCTTAAATCAGACGGATCCACATCATAGAAAATTGGAAATACTTTATGACCTTTTAGCAATTTTTGTTTAACAATCTCAGCAAGCTCCTCCAAACACCAACTTGAAAAGGCGTAGGTTTTGGAGAAAACGATTACCGAGCACCATGATTGTTGAATGGCTTTAAAGAGTTCTGGGGCAATCTCTTCGCCGGCCTCCAGCTTCGGGTCATCCCTGAAAGTGACGATTCCACTGCGTTGAAGAGCATCATAGAGATGATCTGTAAAATTTCTGCGGGTATCTTCACCTCTAAAACTCAAGAAAACATCAAATTTGTGTCTGGAAATAGACGAGGAAGACGAAGGCAACGACAACATGACGAATAATAGGAGGAAGACGAAGGCAACGACAACATGACGAATAATAGGAGGAAGAAAAGGGTGTCTCAATCTGATGTTCAAATCAAAGAAATATAGATGGCTTGATATGCAGGAAGAAACTAGGAAGAGTCCAAATATATAAGCATCAATAAATAGAAAAAAGAGATGAAATTTCCAAGAAGCTGAGACTAGGAAGAACCCAAGAAGCTGAGACTACAACTGCTTGCTTTGCTTTCTTCTGTTCACTGTTGATTAGGCCTCGAGTCTAGCGTAAAGTCAACAATTTCCAAAAACAAAGGCAGCAATTTCTGTATAATTATTAATACCAAAGGAAGAAAGCGTGTAGTGGTGGAAATGAAGGTGTTTTCCCGGAAGAATCCAAGAAGCTGAGACTACAACTGCTTCCTTTGTTTTCTTCTGTTCACTGTTGATTAGGCCTCGAGTCTAGGGTAAAGTCCACAAAGTTACTCAATAATTTAAAATTTAAACCGTTGCATCTATAAATATATATAAAGAAAATTTGGATAAATATTAGGGTAAAGTATAGTAATGGTCACTGAACATTTCTGAATCTTGCATTTAGGTCCCCTAACTTTTAAAACTTGCAATACAGTCCCCTAACTTTTAAAACTTGCAATACAGTCCCCCAATATTTATTCCGTTTGCAATATGGTCCCTCAACTTAAACCACCGTTAGAAAATTAGGGTAAATTATATAAACGGTCATTGAACTTTTCAGGCACTTGAATTTAGGTCTCCCAACTCTTAAAACTTACAAAACAGTCCTTAATTTCATTCTAAACCCCAATTTCCAAAGTAATTCAATTTCATTCTAAACCCTAAATTCCAAAATAATTCAATTCAATTTTAAACCTCAAATTCTAAAATACTTCAATTTAAGGTTTAGAATGTAATTGAATTATTTTGGAATTTAGGTTTTAGAATGAAATTAAGGTGTTTTTAAATTTTGAACATGAATTTACTATTTGACAATATTTATTTCAATATAAATTTGAGGTTTATTTAACTGTTTATATCAATTTTGAATAACAATATGCATTGATTAAACATCACGAATAGCAAAATGGAAGCACTCTATTCGGTATTTCAACTTCCCATAAACTCTGCTCATTTCTTCAACTTTTGACTATATGAAATTCGGAACACTCATTTGGAGCATTATGATTTAAGTACCACTATGTTCTTGCATGCTATTTTTTTATCAGATTTGAGCACCTAACCCTTCAGTGCTTTACAGTGCGATCATTTATGATTCACCTGAATTTGCTCATACAGTGATCATTTATGATTTAGTAGAATCAATGGTTTAGAATGAAATTGAATTACTTTGGAAATTGGGGTTTATAATGAAATTGAGGACTGTTTTGCAAGTTTTAAAAGTTGGGAGACCTAAATTCAAGTGTCTGAAAAATTCAATGACCGTTTATATAATTTACCCTAATTTTCCAACCGTGGTTTAAGTTGGGGGACCATATTGCAAATAGAATAAATGTTGGGGGACTGTATTGTAAGTTTTAAAAGTTGGGGGACCTAAATGCAAGCTTCAGAAATGTTCAGTGACCATTACTATACTTTACCCTAAATATTATTTTAAAATTTTTTATGATATTTAAAAAATTTGATGATATTCAAATGTGTTTTTTTACACATTAATACTTTAACGTATCACCATATTAATACATAAATTAATCTATTTTTTCAATATTGACATTTCTTTTATAACGGATTTATTTTTAAAAAGATACTCAATAATTTAAAATATTTTTTTTTATTTTGGATAAAATTAATGATTTAAGAAAAAGAATTAATAGAATGTTATTAAGCTATTTAGTAAATTAAACACGATTACTTTAGGGGTGGAAATTGGATCGAAAATGAAATGGAGTTGTTTTCCCGGAAGAATACAAGAAGCTCCGACTACAACTGCTTGCTGTGCCTTCTTCTGTTCGCTGTTGACTAAGCCTCGAGTCGAGCGTAAAGTCGGCAATTTGGACTACTTTAATTATAAATTATAATATAAAATTATTTTAACTTTTAAACCTTTTTATTTTTCCCCCATTAATATGTACTACATATTTTTCGATATGTGATATATTCACATCCTCATTTTCGATATATAGTATGTACTACATATTTTTTGACATGTAAAATATATAATATCGTCACTTTTAAAATATTACATGTGATATATCACATTACGCACGTGCAAAAAGGATAAAAAAAAAAAAGAAAGATGGTAAAATTAACAAAATTATTGACGTGATAATTTTTTTATTTTTTTAATAATGACGTGGTATTATCTTATGATGCTTACGATAACACGTTAACATCATTGTTAAATTTTTAACGGTGAAGTACTAAATTAAAACCTAAATTAAATGTTAGGTTTGATTTTTTTTAAAAAGGTAAAAAGTAGGTACCAAACCAGAAGAAAAGTAATAGTGCAGGTACTAAATGTGTAGTTTATCCAAAATAAAAAGAAAAAATTTTCTTGGATAACAATGGTGAACTTGTGAATTGAACTACGCTCAGCTGCTCTTACCTTCATATCTCTTACTTCTTTTCTTCCCCATCCAAAGCTTGAAATCTGCAATGGCGGTGTCATCGATCTCTGCAATTCTGTTTCCTTCTTCAACAATCCCAAACCCTTCTTCACCCAAACCAAGGCTCACTTTTCTTTCTACTTCTTCACCGCTTTTCTTTCAACCCCTTGAAGCTCCCCACTCAATCCCTCAAACTTTCACAGTTCACCACAAAGACTTTTGCTGCCCCTGAAGATTTGCAAGAGATACTCGAGGTTTGCTATGTTTCTCCCTTTTCTTTATAGAACTTTGGAATTTATTTTTAAGCATTTGATTGCTCAGATATAGTGGGAATTGAAAAAGAAAAAAGACAGTCTTTGCCATTTGGGCTTGACGGGGTTGAGTTTTTAGAGGTGTGTTTGTATAATTCTTTGTTTGTTTGCTAAGAAATGTGAGAAAAAAATTGTTGAACTTCTGCCATTTCTGTTTAGTTCATATCATAGTCCTAAATTGCGATTCGCGGTGTTGCGTTAATATTGAAAAACGTTAAGCTGCGATCGTTACACTGAGTTTCTGTAGCAATTTAATACTGCGGTTCATATGAGCCTGTCGTATTACTGTTGCACTCAAATTTGAAATCATGAACACCAACAAGTGAGCGTAGCTGATAGGATAGAATTGTAATTTGGACTTAGTTCATTGTTTGTACGCTAAGAAATGTGAGAGAGAAAATCCGTTGCACTGGAATTTGAGACACCGAGCATAGAAAAGTGAGTTTAGTTTTACATTCGATGTTTAGTTTTGCATATAATTAACTTCTTTTTAAAAAATAAATTATCTTAATTGCATTAACATTGTTACTAATGTAATAACACGAGGTTATAATTTGAATGCTGTTAAACATTTAACATTGTTGAGTATTTGATCAAATCGAGTTGAATTGAAATTTTGAGTTAATCGAATTGATGAGTTGTATTTTATAACTCAAACTTTATTTAAATTTTTTCTAGTTAGACGGTTTTATAAATTCGAGCGCTTAATTGACTAAGCTATCAAATCAAGCCCTAGATTGAGCCAAACCATACAAATTCTTAGTAATCTTATTTCTGATGATAGTTCTAATAATTCGAGCCCTCGTCTTCAATGACCGGTTATTCTTTGCTTAAAATGTGCTGCTCATTAAGAAGATGGTAGGTTGACCACAGTGATAGGCCAATCCGGTGCTTTGCATTCGATACGAAGGTCATCGCCACGGTCTGATGCTAGTTTCTGAAATTCATTGGCCGACGTTGTTATGGTTTGATTTCTCTTTGAGGCAACTAATTGTAGTCACATGTCATCTAGGGAACGAGCTTGCCAAGCAATCGGGTTACACGGTGTGAATGCCGTATGCTTGTGGACTTGAGTGTTATAGATGTTCTTATGGAGAGCTTCAAGTCAAAGACGCTGCTGCAAAACTCATGGCGGGCAATTCCTTTGGTGCCGAGCTTACTCAAGGACCCAAACCACTCGGTCATGAGATGGCAGAGGATGTTTTCAGTGTATTAGCTGTTGCAGAGGCAAATGCAGTTTCAATAGCTGAGAACTTGGTGAGAATCCTTGGGAAAGGCAAAGTGAATCAAAAGCTGCAGCTGCTAATATTTTCTGTAATCTATTGGGTTACTAGCACTCGGTGTCTGTCGTCCAAATCTCGGGTGCAACCATGCAATCCCCCTTCTGGTCAAGCTTTTGGACTCTCAGAGCAATGAAGTAAGAGAAACAGTGTCCGAACTATTGCTCCGCTGATCTTTAATCAGGAAGATCACGAAGCACTAAACGAATCAGGGGATGTCCCTGTCTGCTCGGAATTGTTACATGACATCCGGCGGAGCTGAGGGATAATGCTGCGGAGGCTCTTACCAATTTCCTTGAAGATCCACTGCAGCATGAGATTATATCTCAGGTAGTTGACCATCCTTCATTTCAAAGTACACCGAACAAATTCGGTAGGATTCACACCATTTCCGATGATTGGACATTTGGTTCTACGAGAAGGATGACTATCAATCCAGAAGCTTCATCAAGTAAATAGGCCATCATCCCCAGGCACCATTGACACTTCATTCTGTTAAAATTTGTACAATGTTGGTCTATTTATATTGTTGTTTCGATCCTCCCGTTTTACAAATCTTTACATCTTCTTAAGAAGCTCTAAGAAATTAGAAAGGGGAAATGACAAATGAGAAAAAAAGAACAATTAGTGTAATACAATTACTGACCATTGGGGCTCTCATTATCCTCTTTATGATCTGCAATTACATAATGATCATCCCAGATGTCATCCTGTTGCTCTTTTTCAAATGTATCTTCATCCCGATCACCGTTATTCGAGTCTTCATCACTGCTCTGTTTCTTCTTCACGATTTTCGGAACCATCGGAGTTAGTGCTGTGGGATCTAATAGTTCTTCCTCGTT